GGATTGGCCGGTTCTCCGAACCACTCGAAATTTCTGCTACCGGTTCTACAGAACTGGTCAGAACCTGCTGAATAGCACCTCTGGGCCAATCATCTCCGAGGTGGGGCCTTACTCCCACATCAACCCTTAGTTCGTAATTGTTCTTTTCTTTTGGAAGCTCTGCACATACACAGCCTGGGAACCAGTTCCCGCCTCCCCCGCCTCACTGCTCTCCAACTCTGACTGCTGATGACCGCCAGCCTGCCCTGGCCCCTTCCCTGCCTCCGATGCAGAGCCCTCGTCCGAGCCTTCCTCAGCCTCCAAGACTGGTCGTTTCCTCCCCAACCTCCTCGCTACCAGCTCTGCCAGCCACAGGCAGGCCACAACAAAAGGGCATAAAATAGGGCAAAGCTCACTTAACGACTCTCTTGCTTAAACACGCAGAAATTCTGGGCTCGGTCCTAGTTGTGAAGTTGTGGACTACCTGTCGGTCATAAACGCACCTGGTAAAATCCCAACGCCAATCTGCTCGTTCGGCACACGCAGAAGGGGTGCTGCACAGGGCCGGAGCATTGCCTGGATAGAAGCCACGCGTTTAAAAGATATTTCTAGGATTAGAAAAGAGAAAAAAAAATGTGTCGTTAACATTGGCCAATAAAAGACCTGGGTCTGTAAACAGGGTGAGGAGTTGTAGAAAGCAGGTTCACACAACACGCCAGGCGAGGCTGACAAGGGGCGGGACATCTTGCAGGTCAAGAGTGTTGTGGGAATGCAGGTTGCAAGGTGTGGCGCAACCCCCCCACCCCCCCCCATTGCATGAAGCATTGCACTGAGTGTTGCGAGCCGCTCGGAGTCGCCTTGTGGTGAGATAGACAGTCAATGTAAGAAAGGAATGAAATCTTTCAAGCTGTCATGCGATGTGTTTTGAGGACAGCGAAGAAGCAAATGCAGGAATTGTGATTCTGTCCATCCAGGTTTGGGGATTTATCAGATGATGAGTTCCAGCAGGAAATTTTGACCTCTACAGCAGGGCATCTCCAAACTAGGTGACTGGAAGACTTGTGGACTTCAACTCCCAGAATTCTGGGAGTTGAAGTCAACAGGTCCTCCAGTGATCAGGTTTGGACCTACCAGCTGAGAATTCTGGGAGTTGAAGTCCACATGTCTTCCAGTGATCAGGTTTGGATATACTGGCTGGGGAATTCTGGGAG